ATTTAGCTAAAATTTTCAGGACTTTTTTTTTCTTTCACAAAATCTGTGGGTAGTCAGAATTGGAAACTAATCTTGGTTTGTACCCTGGACGCCATTTGGTGATTTAATATGAATAAGCCTCCGTTTTACTTATTGTCAAACTATTATTTTCTTTGCTATCTCTAATGCAAAAGTGAGCGCCTTTATTCTCTAATAAATAGAGTTAGGGGGGGAGTCCAAAATTCTATATTTTTTGTTTAACCAGTTATTCTTAATTAATTTTTTTAGAACAGTTTTAAAAACAAATCAGTTTTTTCTGTTTTTTTGTGGTTGGTCTTCTACTTCTATTTAAACATTTTTAAAGATACAAAAAAAAAAAAAAACATAAAAGAAAAATCTTTGCAGCGGGTTTTTTTACATATAAAGTTATGCAACTTTATGTTAAAATTTATGCAATTTATTAATTTATTTATCAATTGCTTCAGAAACTACAGCAAATATTGCAGGTGGAATAAAAACAACATTCAAAATGTTACAGGAAGCCTCAAAATACACGTCAGAAGAACTATACCAGAAGGTAGATGTTCATATGACTGACAGTACTGTTCATATTATAGGAATATCTAAAATCACAGCTGATATACTTGATAGAGAAATTTCTTCTGGTCAACTGTTTTGCACTTCACATACAGCTTTAGGTTTTTACAGAGCTATTGAAAAAGTTCTAAATCAAATTAAACAAAAGTACAGAAACATTATCCTTAACCTTTCTATCATGGGTACTAAACTTGTTTGGTCCAAGTTTTATTCAAAAACCATGGAATTATCATAGAGAATTTAAAACTTTTATGCAGCGTAAAAACAAAGATAATTTTCTTTTTTAATTTAAAGATATTCGATTTGAATGCTTAAATATTCTTCTATAGTTTGCTTTCACTGGGATAACTTTAAGGAGTTTTTAGACCAACATGAATATATCACCAATAAACTTGCTTGTTTAGTCCGAGGTTCTATGAATTTTGATTACATTATAGTTATTTTAGTCGTGGTAGCAGCTTTTGGAATGCAAGTCACCATTTTTCTGTAAAAGTAAAGGTAAAGCCACACATTCTAAACTGCAAATTTTTTTTAGCAAGATGCATGCAAGCTTATCTAGTGATGTTATAAATGAACAATTCTTTGAATTTAAAAAGCCATGTGTTCAAGGAGTATCAAAGAGACTTTTTGAAAAACTTTTTAAATAAGATTATGGCTTAGAAGTTGTTGATGTAGTACGAAATTATGCATCAAAGAACTATGATGATTGCATTATTCTTGCTAATATAGTTCAGCAAAGTTTAGCTATAGTTCTTCAACACCAGAGAGGAAAGCATTATGGGTTTTGAGAAAGAAACAATGATCAATTACCTGAATAGTATTATGTTTTTAATCAAGTCGTTGGAGTCGATAAAACAGTTACAAAAAATATTGAACTTGAGCGTCAGTGTAAAACTCATAGCAATCGACTTAGAAAAAAACTGTCACTTTCAACAGTTTCACGTGGTAATGTTTTTTAATATTCAAACCATTTAAGAAATAAAGGTTCAAATAATTTAGAACTATTTCGGAAAATGGGTCCTATTGTTAGAAAAACTGAAAGTATAGAATACAGCTAGAACCAGCGACAGATTCAACTGAGACAAAGTGGCTTAACTAAAAAAGAACAACAAGCTTTAGATCAGGCGTCCAGGAGAGATTCTATTTTAACTTGTTTAAAACTACAAAGCGGTCCATTTACTCGTGGATCAGATGTCAGTGAATATATTGAAAAAGAGCAAGATCTGATAAAATGCCAAAAACGATTGAAAAATGAAGTAATTTATTTTAGAGATACAAGTAAGTCATTGCTGCGCAAATCAACTCTATTTAAAATCATGATTTTTGATAAAAATACAAAAAAGCGCCGTCTTATATCAATAGAAGAATATGCTACTAATTTGAAGATTCTTCTTGGAAAGTCATCACAGCAATTCACAATCACCTACGATGACTTCCACAAAGTTATTTCGCACTTTCAATAGAAGTCGAAACAAATTATTATTAATATTAGGCTATCTTGATAATGTACAATGTCTAATTTTTTGTGTAATTGCACAAGTGATTACAAATTTTATTAATAAAATGAAGAAAAAAAATTACCATGTGTTTTACATCGCTTATATTTGAAAGTAATAATGATTTCATTAAATTTAACAGTAAATTGTTTTGTCAAGTAATCACTTTAATTAAAATTGAATTAGAAAGCTAAATACTGATAAGGAAGTAAAAACATAGTGAAGTTCGAAATCAGCATAAAAAGTTAATTAAGAAAAAGTGGTTAAACTACAAAAAATTTAAAAAGTTAATTTTGGACCCCCTAATAGAGTAAAAACGGACACAAAACTTTCTGAAAGAAAATTTTTCACAAAATTAATTTCAAGTAAGTTTGGATAATTACATTTAATATCCTTCATAATTTAAAAGAATATATTCACGTAACTGCATATTATAAAAAAACTTCTAGTAATGTTCGCAATTTTTTTTAATTTTTATTAATGGTTAGATAACTTTATTAAGTTATCAAACTAATTAACAAACTTTTTTATGAATGCAATTTGTGAAATCAGCCATGTAATAAGTAAATTATGTTTTATTTGTTTTCTAATTCAAAAAAGTCAAGTTTTTGTGGCATTTAATAAAAATTTACAATAATCTATAATAAACTTTCATAATAGAGAATTTTTTTTTTCAATAGAAAAAACTTAATGAACAATTTCAAAATGTTTTGTTTTTAGATTCTTTTGTAAAGATTTTTAAAAATTTATGAGTAAGAAATTACAGTAAGAAATATTTTAAGGATTAAAAATGTAGTTTATAAAGATACAAAAATGTTAAAGTGGGCTAAAGTCCATGCAAAATTCTTGCAGGTTACTTTAGTACCGGGCTATTCTGGAAGTATATATGCATGAATATTATAATTTTAATTCCTTATTGAATGATCTCTTCATTGTATTTTATGAGCTTTCTTTTCTATTAAAGTATATGCACATTTTTCTCTGTTTTTCTTCTTTTCTTAATTTATTATTTATTATCCTTTTTTTCTTCTTTTCTTACTTTATTTTATTAATGAAAGTTTAAATATGCATTTTAAGAGATTTTTAAATATAAATGTATTTTTTTTTTATTGGAATGATTTCATGAAAAACTAAGTTTGATATATAATACATATGTTGACATACTAAGTATTAATTGTGGCTTATTGAAGTTCTAGTTAAATAATTTGAGTTATTTTTTAAAAAATTAATACCATTATTTTTATTAATTGTATAACAATAACTATGTAGTATTTAATATTAAACAAATAAAACCTTTTACAAATCTTTTAATTGTCTTTGCCTGTAATAGAAAGGTTGCAATATAAATTTGGTTGCTTTTAAATATTTCAATAGATCAAGAATAAAGAATAAATTAGGTAAAAATAAAATAATAAATAAAAATAAAGTTATTAATTATATCTTTTAAATAAAATAAGTTTGTTAAGTTAAAGAAATTAAGAATCACACAGATATTCATAGCTAAGAGTCTTTTTAAAGATTTTTAGCAAAAAATTATGAATCACTTTTAAAACACTATAATTTAAACATTTATTAATTAAAAAATTTTTTTTTTCAACTCAGTTTTTAATTCAATTCTCTTGACATCGCTTGATACTTTTCAACCTCACTACTTTTCAACCTCACTTCTTAACTGTGTATGTACATACTATACATTCAGTTTTCTGCTTTATTACAGTTAGTTCAAAAAGTCGTCTGAGTGCTTTTGATTTTTTTTTTTTTTTTTTTTTTTTTTTTTAACATCTTCACTTCCAACAAGGCTGCAAGCAACCACTATAAGAGTTGGAAGTTACTGGATGAGAAAAGACTAAATCTGTAGAGCAAGATAACGATTGACTGATGACTTAAAAGATTGCAAATTATATGAATCAGGAAAGCAAGATGAAGGAAGCGAATTCCAAAGAACTGATGTTCGAGGAAAAAAACTAGAAGAATAAGAGTTTTTGAAGCACTTAGGAACAGTCACAGAAAAAGGATGAGACTTAATTGAATGGCGAGTAACACGAGAATGAATTTTAGTAGATGGCACAAGGGACGCTAGCTCTTTAGAGCAGTGCCCATTATAGTATTTGTAGAAAAGAGAAAGAGAAGCAACATTACGACGATGTGACAAAGGTTGGAGATTGGCTGCCAGAGCAGGTCCAACTATGTTTACAATTCGTTTTTGCACCTTGTCTAAAAGAGATTTTATATATTTATAAGCAATATTTATGTTTACAATTCGTTACAATGTTTACAAATATTTATGTTTACAATTCGTTTTTGCACCTTGTCTAAAAGAGATTTTATATATTTATAAGCAGGAAGGCTCTTAAGTCATGATGAAAGATGTTTTTTTAGAACGAAAGAACTCTGAAAAATCCCACTTTAATTGTGGATAAGGGTTAGAAGATCTTGTAAACTTGCAATCTTTCTTATGGTAGCATTACATAGAGACTCGCGAAAATTTATTGTCATGTTTTAATGGGATAGAGCATTACTTCACTATTCGTTAGAGCTAAAACTAGCTTGACCAAAAGTTTTTGAACCATTGGGAAGTAAAGTTTAATTGAGTGGCTGGCTTGTTTTTCAAAACAAGCCAACTGGATTAAGCTTTGCTTTTCACAAAAATGTAGTAGTTTATCTGTAACATAAGCCAAATGGGCAACGTAATATAACTATATTTTTTAATTGTTTTTTAATATAAATATAATTTCTAAACATTTTTTTTAATAGATTATTTAAAATCAAAAGCACCAAAAAAAAATTTTAATTGTTTTTTTGATTTTAAATAAATTTTTAATTGTATTTTTTTAAAATTCCACCAACATTGCGCATTGCACATTTACAGATATATTTAAATAAAAAGAGAAACTAAAAAAAAATTATTAGTAAAAATATTTTGTTTAGATCAAGAGTTTTGATCATCAAAATGAAATCTCTAGACTTCGTCTCGCAGAAAATAACATTAATCAAGATTTATCTAATTTGACATTAGTTGGTCCTGAAACACAAGCTCGCCTGGAAGCCTTACTGGAAGCTGCTGGTAACAATAATTGTTTTTACATTTTTTGGTAATTTAATAAGAGAAAAATTTTCAAAATCATTTATGCTTAACATTTTTCATTAACAAATATTAATTAACAATAGTACTATTTTTTTATATTTCCCAAAATAGTATTTTTAAATTATTCACTGTTTATCAGGAGTTGCAACTGACGGGAAGGCTTTTACAGATCCTGAAGTATTAAGGAGGTTAACCTCTTCAGTTAGCAGTGCTTTGGATGAAGCTGCAGCAGCTTTAACTAGAATGAGATCACAATCTGGAAATAATACATCAAGTCAAAATAATGCACAAGGTTAAAAATAAGATATTTAGCTAACTGAATGGTTGTTATGATAAGTATTTATTGTTAATTATTTATAGGTTCTGACTTTCATACAAAAAAAGTTAAAATAGGCTTTTCTTTCCTATCCACTTTGTTTGTGTTCCAATAAGTTTCCAAAAGTTTGTATAATGTATTTTTGAAATTCTTTCTAATTTAAATTTATAAAAATCTGTCAGAAGTGTGCTTGAAAATGCATGGAAACGTTATAAACCTCTGAAAGAAAAACATTTTAAGAAAAATGGATATATATATTTATACTTTCACAAGCATCAAAAGCAAAAATGAAAAGCAAAATTTTAACTAATATTTATCAAAAACCACTTATTTGCCGAAATTGCCCAAACACAGTAATTGGAACCCAGTCCACAAAGTTATTAAATATTAAAAAAATCCCATTTTTTTATAACTGGCAAAAAATATCTTTCCTACAAGTCTATAGCGAGTTTTCTAAGACTTTTCGATCATTAGGTATGATTTTATCTCCTTAACTTTGCTTTTTGGGTCCATTGTGAGTAAAAGCAATAAAACCTACTGTTTTGTTAAGTTACCTCTAAATATTGCCCTAATGAGCTCATATTTGCCTGAAACTATTTCTATATGTATTGGAACAACATACTAAATGGTAATAATTATTAAAAATTTTTTGCATAATTTATAATGTACAATTGTTAGTTTATTAGTATATAAATAATTATGTTAGTTTATAAGTAATTATGCAATAAATAATTGATTATATTGTTAAATAAAAATCTAAAACCTAAATTTTTACTTTTAGTTGTAAAACATTATTATTTCTTTTAATTGGTTGCTTTTCAAAATAGAGTTTATTTTACTAGTTTATAACAATTATTGTGCTATTCAAGGTACAAGGAGTCTTGTTGAAGCTTGTATTGAAGGAGACATCACAGCAGTACGGAAACTGCTTGATGAAGGTCGCAGTGTCCATGAGCCGACTGAAGAAGGAGAAAGTTTACTTTCTTTGGCATGTTCTGCAGGTTAAGTGTCTATATATATTTACCTATGATTGTTATACAGGGACTTTCAAAGATTTCAATTGATCAAAATTATTACTTTTAATTATTTGTTATAAAGATGCAATTGTATAAGTAATATTTTTAATAAAAAGTTTGGTTAGAAGTTTTTAAAATGTTTTCATTTAGTTAGAATGCTAACATTATATACTAATATGGTGTTATTACATGTATTTATCACCATACATTGTATGGAGATGAATATATTTATTTTTTAAAAATCTAGGATATTATGAATTAGTTCAAGTTCTTCTTGTTATGAATGCAAATATTGAAGATAGAGGAGTTAAAGGTGATTGCACACCGTTAATGGAAGCTGCGAGTGGTGGTTTTGTTGATATTGTTCAATTGTTGCTGCAACATGGTGCAAATGTCAATGCTCAATCTTCATCTGGAAACACAGCTCTTCATTATGCAAGTTGCAGTGGTTATGATGATGTTGTTCAAGCTTTAATTCAACATAATGCAGATTTGGAGCATCAAAATGAAAATGGACATACACCTTTAATGGAAGCTGCAAGTGGTGGTCATAATAAAGTAGCCAAATTACTTTTAGATAATGGTGCTGGAATAAATACCCACTCTAGTGAATTTAAAGAAAGTGCTTTAACTCTAGCATGTTATAAAGGTTTAATATATTTAATCTTAATTACTTGTGTTATTCAATGATTTATTTACACTTATTTTTAAGTAAAATTTAAGGTTTCAAAAAGCAGAGTTTCGCAGTCTTGAGTTTTTAATTTTAGAATTTAGTGTCTCAGATTTCAAACTTATTAATAATATGTTACTCAAAACCTAATAAAAAACATGTTTTTTTTATTATTATTTATCTTTTGCTCAGCAAATGTTTTTGTCAAAATTTTTAATAAAATTATCTCTTGGTTAATATTTTAAAAAATTCTAGCATTTTGTTTCTTAAAAAGTTTTTTTAAATATACTTTGTTTGAAAAAAAAATTAAACTTTTTTGAAACAACACAGTTGAAGTTTCTCAAAAATTTAGCTGCATAATCTATTATTGTTTAATTATTTGAACATCAACAATAAATTTGTTTGGTAAAGTGTTTTAAACATTTTATATTCATTTAATAATTTTATTCATTTAATAAAGTTGCTTCTATAACAATTGTTATAAATTAATAGAGAGTAAGTTGTTGTTTTTTTATGGAAAAAGAAGAATCCATTAGAATTCTTATTACTAGTATTAAAAAATTTATATTATCAGTATTATGAATTATTTTCAGTTTTTACTTTTAAAAATTTTATATTAGGTCATGTTGAAATGGTTGCTTTGCTTCTTGAAAGAGGAGCTGACCAAGAACATAAAACAGATGAAATGCATACTGCTCTAATGGAAGCATCAATGGTAATATTTGAAATCATTTGATTTGTTGGTTTTTTATTTTTTATTGTGTATATACTGCCTGATATACTATTGTTCCTGGATAAATTGAGACATCCACATACATGTAGTTATGTTAGAATGATTTTTTAAAAACATAGTTCTAATAAATTCTATCATTAATCTACAGTTGCTTTTAATTTCTTCTTTCACTTCTGAGTTCATTACTTTCTTTTTATAGATTAATTTATGCTGAGTATTATCTGATCTGAATTTTTCAACATACTCTTTTCAATAATTTTTTTGTTTTGTCATTGAGTTTTGAATCTGTTTTGTTTTTAAAACTTTATTTTTTACATTTAAAGTAATATCTTAATGATATTAGTTTTTGAAATTTGTTTACCTTAATCATATTTATAATCTTAAACAAAATTTATTTAAAAAATTGTTTTACATTTTTTCTTTTTTTAAATAATTACCCAAGACGGTTGTATGTAAAATTTAATCTGTAAAAGTAATCTTTTAGATGCAAAGTTCAACATGGCATCTAACCTGGATTTTTTATTGTTTAGATGCAAAGTTCAACCTGGCATCTAACTTGGATTTTTTGTTATTTAATTTTTGCTTTTGCATTTTCTGCTAAATAAAATCATTTTGCTTTTCAAAATTTTATTCATGTATACGTTTTTCAATTTTTCTTACCTTGGTAATAACCCTAATAAATACCGAGGTAACCTACAATGTAACTGCATAATTATATTTTTTTACAAATATGATTTCAACTTTTCATGCTGTTCATAACATTCTTACAATTTTTGAATTGAAAATTTGATAAATCTATCATCTTTTATTCTGCTTACAAAAATTCCTATCTACTGTATCTTATTTTTAACCTTGTGCATTATTTTGACTTGATGTATTATTTCCAGATTGTGATCTCATTCTAGTTAAAGCTGCTGCAGCTTCATCCAAAGCACTGCTAACTGAAGAGGTTAACCTCCTTAATACTTCTGGATCTGTAAAACTATCATCTTTTATTCTGCTTACAAAAATTCCTACTCATATGACTTTACCTTCAGCTAAGTTGTATCTTTTTATGTTTGCTTCTAATTTCTCAAAATGCTTTATTTATTTTGTTTTTTCTTTTATTTTGCTAAATATCTGTTATCTTGCTCAATAACTGTTAGTATTCCTCAATCATTTACTAAATAACACACAATATAATTGTTGCTTTGGAAATTTGCTTGGTAATTAATTTTTTTGGGTTAATTTGTATATTATGTAAAAATAGTTAATCATATAATTATTGCTGTAATCTTATAGGATGGCCATGTTGAAGTTGCTCGATTACTGCTGAATCATGGAGCTCAGGTAATATTTCCATTCAAAGTTGTTTGTTATGAAGTTTAAAATTAGACTCATACTAAGTAAAAACTTTTACAGATTAAAAAAAATAAGATTTTTATGTAGGTTAATATGCCAGCTGACAGCTTTGAGTCTCCTTTGACATTGGCTGCATGTGGAAGTCATGTTGAACTTGCACAACTTCTTATTGAGCATAAAGCTAATCTTGAAGAAGTTAATGATGAAGGGTAAAAATCATTTGATACACATTTAGTTGTTTGCATTCAATTTTTTTTCTTTTAAATTGCTAAAATTATCTATTAAACTATTTAAATTGTCAAAATTGGCTATTAAACTATTAAAATTGGCTTTTAAAAAGCTACTAAAAACTATTTAAATAGTTTTATATAAAAATATATAAGTATAAAAATATAAGTAAATTAGGTTTAAAAACAGTTATATTTTTATACATAAACAGCTTACAGTTTTTCAACTTTAAAAAAAGCATTAAAATAGTAGGTGAATGTAAAATATTAAAAATAATAAGTGAAATAAATATTTTACAGTTTTAAATCATTTTAGAATTCTACAATTTCACTTTATATTACTTTTAAAACTCTTCTCCCCAGTTTTAAGCTATATATGTTTTCCACTTACTCTCCTCCCCAGTTTTAAGCCACGTTTTTCTATCGCTCCCCTCCATGAATGAAATTAAAAATATTTGGGAAAGCATTTCAAATTTTTGAAAGATATAAAATGCAGATAGGCTAAAGTTGGTATATAGCATTGTTTTTATATATAATTTCAAAACCTAAAGTTTTAACATATTTTCTTTACTTAATTAGTAACTAAGTGTTTGAGTTTTGTTATGGTTAACAATAGGCTAGATTAAAGGGCAAACACAAGCAAGTTGCTTAGGCAGAAAAAGAAAAACTCCATGTGCTATGCACTATTATTGTATAAACTTCAATTTTTAAAAGTGTTTATGTTTTATATTTGGTTGGCATTTTTAGTTATACTCCATTGATGGAAGCATCTCGAGAAGGTTATCTTCCTATGGTGGCATTACTTCGAGAACATGGTAGTTTTTAGTTTAACATTAGTTTGTAAATACCATTAGCCAAATTTAAGAATTTTACAAGTGCATTTTTTTCAAAACTTTTAAATATCTATGTTAAATGATATAAGTTGTTGATTATAGACACTTTCAGACAAAGAAGATAAAACTTATGAACATGAAATTTGTTTTTTGTCTTAATAATTATCCTTTATACATAGATACTGTCTGTATGTATAAGGTTTATGCAATAGTAACATATTTGTGTATATTAAAATGTATATATATATATATATATATATATATATATATATATATATATATATATATATATATATATTAGCATTGTATAAAATAGATTTTAACATTGGACAAGTTGAAATAGGTGCAAAGTAACATAATAACAAGTAAAAACAAAAAAAGTTTTTTTTTTGGTAGCCATTTTTTGAGGAAATAAAATTTAGTTTTACTATAAAAGCTGATATTAAAAAAAATATAAAAACAGTAGCTAATTGTAGAAGCAAATGCATCAAAACGAGTATCAATTGTAACTTTGCTGTTTTACTTTTTTTAAAATTGCACATTTAGTAATTTGGAGCTTGATTTTTTTGCTTGTTGGTAAAAATTTTCAAGGATTTACAATTTATTTTTTCAAAAAATACTCAACCGTTTATTATGACTCTTTCCATTTGTCTGTCACCTTAGAGTAAAATATAGAACTCTATATGAACTGCTTTATTTTAATAGCATTATGTTTACCTTATACTTAAAATTTTTCTGGTAGCAGCTTCTCTGACTTTATATTCATCTGATTTCATTACGGAGTACAATATATTTTCAGGCAGCAAAGCAAAAGTGTTGTTGCAAAGTTTTTTAATGCAATGGTTTTGATTTTCTCAGACTGTTCTTTAATTCTTTTAATCATTTTAAAAATGTATAACTGCTGATTGTGAAACTTATTATCCAATTTAATTTCAAACCAGCTAACTGCATACACTTGCACAATAAATTTTATAATTTGGTGAAGCTAATCTTGCATTTCTGGAAGATTAGTGCCTCTTGTCCAAAGACACAATAATCGAATTGCCAAAGTTCACCATCTAGCATGATTTAATGGCCAAGTTTTCCACTTGACATATTTATGATCAACATTTCCTCTTGAAATTCTAAGAACTTATTCTAGAAGAAGCCTTTGATCACTACTCAAATCTTTTAATGTCTTTCCATCAAAATATATGTTATCTACATGGATGCTAGTTTTTATGAAGTCAACTTGAGGGAGATCTTGGTAGTTATTTTCACAAAGTTTTCCGATTAGACCACTAAACAAATTTTTTGTGTTTTGGCTTTTGGTGCGTGCATTTTGGTAATATTATTAAAAAATGTCAACCTTTCTGTCCAGTCGGCTTGTGCAAAATATATGTTGTGTTTGACAATTTTCTTCTACGTACTTTACAAATTTATCGTTACAAGAACTAACAGGTAGATTACATTTTCAAGCTGAAATATCAAAAAGAGTGTCTAAAGTTTTCTCGAGGTTATTACACTTCACTTTAGAAAGAGATTTTTGGTTAATCTGTTTTGCTTTCATAAAGCATAATTTATTTATTAACTTTACCACATAATAATGTTCATATAGTGGTAACTTTGGATTAACAGTCTGCTATATTTTTATAACATTAATTGCTATCATTTTTGCAATGTCATAATCTTTTAACTCTTGGTTTGTCTTGTCTTTAAGGAAATAGTTATATTGTATAATCTGGCGAATGGTTGGTGTCTCTGCTTCATTTAAAGGTGAAGGCTGACCACCAAATTTTTTAGCAAAACTGCCACATGTTAAAACAACCTTTTGGTTTTTAAGCATTTCATTAAAACATATTATTGTAAATAAAATATGTTAAAGTAAATATAACGACTTGAAAAACAATTACAAATCTCTCTAATCTAAATAAACAAATTTATTTATTTTTGTACAAGCGCGAAAATTTACACAGATTTTTTAAAGTAACACTAAGAGAAAGTTTCAAAGAATTATATTAAAATCATTAATTTTTTTAAATAGTTGTTTTCCTATAGTAATTGTAAAAAAATAGTTACTATTTTATTAAAAAAATTGTTATTCTTCAAAATATTTTAACTATGATATGATTAATCTTAAACATTTGTATTTTAAAATGATTAAAAATATTTTCTCCAAATACCTATAAATATTAACATTGAAACTTGAATCATGTCAATAATATTCAGTGAATATATACAAATGCTCAAAAAACTAATAAAAGTTGTTGAAAAAGCCTTTATAAAATGATAATAATATATTATTAGGCATCTTTCTCAACTAGTCCAAAATTTCAGTTCCAACATCGACCAACTTTAATATATATATATATATATATATATATATATATATATATATATATATATATATATATATATATATATATATATATATATATATATATATATATATATATATATATATATATATATATATATATATATATATATATATATATATATATATATATATATATATATATATATATATATATATATAGGTATATATATATAGGTATATATCATATACCTTGTGACAAATAAAAAATGATTAACACATGAGCCTAAAGGAATTTTTGATGTCATAAAATTCTTGTTTGCTTTTCTTATTTGTTGTCATTAATTTTTTTAACTTTGGCAGTTTACTAAATCACTGTAAAACAAGTGTAATTGAATATTTAACTCAAGATAATTTAGAAATGTTATTATGTAATAATGTTATTGAATGTTTATTTTGCTTCCGGTTTTCCAGGTTTTGCCTATGACTAAATAAGTAAAAGTATGCTAATATTTAATTTGTTTTGTTTTTTGAATAGATATTTATAGTTTTGCAAATAAGAATTATTTTTTATTAAAAAAAAATTGAAACAGATTTTTATTTGTGTTATTAAAACAACTTCAACTTATGCTTGGTGCAAATGAGGTTTACAAGGAATTTCATTTCTAATAAAATAAAGTATATATCATCAGATGTTTTGTCTCTATTAAATGTATACTTTCTTTTTCCAAGCCATTTTTTTTTTTCAGAAATAATTTTGTATATTATTTATTTAGGAGCTAATATTAATGCACAAACAGAAGAAACCCAAGAAACAGCATTAACATTGGCATGTTGCGGAGGGTTTCAAGACGTTGTTTTATATCTTCTGGAGTGTGGTGCTAATATAGAGTTAGGTGCATCGACACCATTGATGGAAGCTGCTACTGAAGGTCATGTTGAACTTGTAAAGCTTCTTCTAGAGCACGGTATATACAAATACATAAATTTATAATATCAAGTTAAAGCTATGAGTTTTAAACAAGTTTTTCATAAATATTTTCTTCAATAAGTGAATAGAAAAATTGTGTATAGCTTCTCTCTTTCTTACTCTATATATGCACACATCAACTCAATTGTTAAAAGGTTAACCCATAACTTATAATCCATAACTTGTAACAACCATAATTTATAACAACCATAGTTGTTATAAATTTCCTAAAAAACAAAACTGCAACAAAATTTGTGTATATATTTCAAAATATAAATATTTAAAATATTTTAAAATGTATAAAAATTTCAAAATGTATACATTTCAAAAATTTGATTAAAAGACTGTCTGAACCAAAACCCAAAATAAATGTATATATACTCACTGCACATTGATCTATACAAAATGACTTAAAATGTGAACCTCTAAATAGTTCAGTAAACGTATAAATATATAAAAAATGCACATAAAAAAATAAAATAGGTATAATAAAATAAAGTTATTTTTTTTTATATAAAATGAAAATATTTAATATATTTATGCAATTAAATCAATAGTTTTGGCATTTAGATGGTTATAAAAATGTGTAACAGAATTAATCTTTTAAGCATATTCAACAAAATGAAAGTAACAAACTGTAGTTTTATGTTTTGATTTTGATAGTATTAGATATATTTATAAAGCTTATATGGGCTACAAGTCTTTTGTAATTATTAAAAAAGTTAATAAATGAATTATAAACTATAAGTTTATTCTGAAATTAAGCATTTTTGCCTTAACATGACAAGCAAGTGTATTTTTTATGTTATTTAGTCAATTACAAATATCAAAAACAACACAAAGAATATTCTTAGTGTTTTAATTATAGAAAAAAGACTTAACAATTAATATCAGGACTGTCTTAAATACAAACTGATAAAATATTAGAATTGTTAATAAAATTTTATTAGTGGTAGGTGCTAGTTCAACACCTTAAACACTTTTCAGAATATCTCTGGAAGGATTTCTGCTTTATTTACCTCTATGGAAACCATTTATGAGAGCCTTTATTGATGTTAATCATTCTAAATATCAACTGTGTTGATGTTAATCATTCTAAATATCAACTGTGTTCAGTTATTGACAAATCTTATGAGTAAGCTCAAAAAAAACTCAAAATTACTTTCTGTTTTGTTTTTGTAATATTTTAATGAATTCTAGATTTATTATTATTTTTGTTGCATGTATCTGTTAACACATGTCAACTTATTATATTGCACTATTTTGTTTAATTTGATTAAAACACAATTGTATTAATTCTTTTTTTTTATAATTTTTTTACTTTGCATTATCCTATAAGTTTTTTATTTCATCAATTTGACTAATTTTAATTGTTAAATTTGCCACTAATTTCTTATTTCCAGCTAAAAAAGGTTTCTTTTAAGGGTACTTCAATGTAAAACACAAGTTAAAACTGTTTTCTTCCACATGTGTAGATTTGTTTCATGAAGAACTTTATGTAACTAAAAAATTTTGGGATTTGAAAAAGAAGAATTTCTTTATTTGAAGCCAAAGTTTAAAGGTATTTTAGTTAATACAAAACTCAAAGCTGGAATATTAATTGAACAATAAATACAGAGTTTGCTGTGTAATCCAGACTTTTATTTGCAATGGCATATCAAGTTTTTAGAAATGTGTTTTATGTCTTTATTTAAGTGCAATAAATTATAAACATAATTTGTGTTAAGAGACGAAACCGTAGTATAAAAGGTATTATAGCCCTAATTTAATGGGAGTTTACTTGTTCCTTCTAAAAAAAAAAAATACTTTGTAAAGGTAAAAGCAAAAGTATACATTTTATACACATAATAAATGCATACATTTTATACACATAAAAAAAAAAAATTGTGTATAAAATGTGTGCATTTGATTAAATTGTATTGCCTATGTGTCACTAACTACAATAAAATTAAAGTGAAGCATGGCTTTTAAATATTTTTGTATTCTAAGTGGATAAATACATTGAATATATTTACACCTTAGCTCTGAGTCTAATGTTGTTTTTTGCATATAACTTAATCCTGCGGTGCAAGCTTAAAAAATTATTTTCCTAAAATTTCAAATAACCTTATGTATGTGATTATGTATAAAATGCACCTATAGTAACCAAGATTTTATTTTTAAAGTTTAATTTGAGTGCTTGTCGATAGTTAAAAAATTAGTTTTAAATTTATTTTTTTCAATGAAGGTAGCAAAGTGAATGCAACAACTGCAACTGGAGATGCTGCATTAACATATGCAGCTGAGAATGGTCACACTGATGTTGTTGAAGTACTGATTCATTATGGTGCAAATATAGAACATGAGTCTGAAGGGGGTAGAACTCCACTTATGAAAGCTGCTCGTGCTGGACACTTGTGCACTGTAGGATATCTCATAAGTCAAGGTTTTGTTTTTATACTTTAAGTTTGTGATTATTACAATGAGTGTATGTAATTTTTTATATTACATACATGCATGCACATTAATTAAAACTTTTTGAAACATATTTGTATAAATTCTGTAAAAAATTTAATTACCTTTGAGGGTTTTGAAAAAGACAGCAAAGTTATTTTTTGTTTTAATATTTAAATTTTACTATATTTAAAGGTGCTGATGTAAATCGCAAAACAACAGGAAATGAGCATTCAGTACTCTCTTTGGCTTGTGCTGGTGGTCATGCTGCTGTAGTAGAACTGTTATTAACAAGAGGATCAAATGCAAGCATGAAACTTAAGGTTTTTCTAAAAAATTATTGTTTACTTTGTTTTTGTGAGAAATTTTAAAACTAATGCTTTAAAGTTTTTTTTTAAGGATAATTCAAGTATGCTTATTGAGGCTGCAAAAGGAGGTCACACTAATGTAGCTTGTTTACTTATTGATGCAGTCCATCACCAAAATTACATTCCAAACGATCTAGCTAATCATGCTGGTTATCCCTCTCCTGTATCTTCTTCTGGTCAAGCAAGTAATTCTTCTTATCATATTTGTTCAGACCACCTACATCACCTACACCAACATGAGTGCCCCTTTCAATGTTCTCATTTGCAAATGCCCCTAACCTCTCAACATCCGTTATCGCCAGACTGCTTTAATCATAACTGCACGTTTGTTCCACCTGTTATTCAACCTAATTCCCTTCCGAGTCACAATTATCAAACTTTGCATAGCCCAATATATGATAGTGAACCATTTACTGCAGATATTGATGTAAATACATCACCTTCTGATATTTATTTACCTAATATACCAATTTCTCTGTCCAATTCTCTTTCTCTGGCAAATCTTACTCCTGCTGACCTGCATTCATTAGCACAAGCTCTTTCTTTTTCTTCAATGTCTGTAATTCAGCAAGAACAACAATTTTCTAACACAACAGTTACAGAAAACATTTCAGCAAATATAACATTTCCAGTTATAGAGCCTCACATAAATAGTTTTACTACACAATCAGAAGTTTGTACACCTTCACCATCCGATACAACAACAGCTGTAGTAACAAGTGCTAATCGTATGATTGCTTCAACAGGTGTTCAAACAGAAGACACAATATCAATGATTCAGAAACTTACAAACAGTGTTCATCAGCTGAATGCATTACAAAGTTTTGCTGCTGCTCATAATCTAGAACTAGTTAATCTTGGAGAAATTACACTTCCTCCTGCTCCATTTCCTTTAGAAGAAGAAGATATAGACTCTGGAGTTGTAGCAAATAGCTCACGACATGTTTCGCTAAGTTCAATGTCAACTGTGACAAGAGAAGGTTTGTTAGTTGTTTATTAGTTTATTAAACTTTATTAGTTGTTTATTTAAAGAAAAAAAAATTGTAACAAGTATTTATTTGTATTTTTCTTAAATAAGTTGTGTGTTTTTATAGAACCCATTGGGGAGTGTAGTCCACCTTCAATATGCCAAAGTGCAATTGCTCCACCTTTGCAGCCTGTTATTACGCCATTAATTCCAACAGTCGACATAAATCAAGCAACAGAAAGTAATCATGACACAGCACTAACAATTGCTTGTGCTGGTGGGCATGACGAACTTGTCCAACTTTTGCTAGCCAGAGGAGCAAGTATCGAACATCGTGATAAAAAAGGCAATTTGATATACTATTGTTTATCTGTAGCTTTACTATACATTTAGTAAAGTGGCATATAGTCTTATAAATTTCATTTTTACAGGTTGCACACCCTTGATATTAGCAGCTACTGCTGGTCATGTAAGTACTTGTCATATACTTCTTGAACATGGTGCAGAAATTGAAGCCCAGTCTGATCGCACTAAAGATACAGCTTTATCACTTGCATGTTCAAGTGGTAGACAAGAGGTTGTTGAACTTTTATTGATGTCAAACGCTAATTATGAACATCGTAATGTGTCTGATTATACTCCACTGAGTTTAGCAGCATCAGGAGGATATGTTGGCATTATTAAGCTTCTGCTAAATCATGGCGCTGAAATTAATTCAAGGTTTTTGCATTAGAAATAATTAATTTAAGATATTATGTATTTATTTTTACTATTTTATTATGTATATTAATCTGTTTAATTAGTAAATAGTTATTTTAAATGCTTAAATTTTTAATTTATACTTAAACAATTTTTAGTTTATATTTAAATTTTTATTTATTATATTAATTTAATTTTTATTATAATTTTAAAGGATTAAAAAAGGAGACTAAAATATGACATTTATATTTTTTACTTGACTTAAACATAATTTTATAAACATTATAAAAACAGTATAATTATTTTTAATTACATTATTTTATTGATTTAATTTTAAGACCACTAATGTTGATTTGTGGTTATGTAATGCAATATAATATTTTTTAACTTATATGTGCATTGTTGCTAAGTCATTGTCACTTTATATATTGATACTAGAAAATTCATGTTTTTAACAACCTTTTACACTTGTAAATAATAATTATTTTGAGAAGTGAAGTGAAGGAGGTGAAAGCAAATAAATCTTATATATATTATGCATACCTAGTGAGTTTATAAGTAAAAAAGAATTAAAATTAAATATTTAAATGACTTTAAATTAATGTTAAAAACGAAAAATTCCAAGTTAAAAAATTTCATTAAAGAATTTCTTAATAAACTATATAACTCTCGAGTCCCTAATAAAAGGGGTGGGAAGAAGTTTAGAAATTTTTAGAAAATATTTTTACCCACTTCAAGCTTATTCAGGGTGGCCACTGATCATGGAAATCAAAGAAATGTCATAGAATTTTATTTTGGTCATGAAAAATTTAGGAATTCCTAAATTTTCATTGAACTTTTTAAAATAATCTTTATTTTTTTCTACTTGTGATATTTTTAGGATACAAATAAACTACTAGTATGTTTAGTCTAAGTCATTTTTGAAAAAGATATTTTTGCACTGTAAGTTATCAGGGAAGTAAAAGAAAAAGAGTTTTTTTCGGACATGATTTTAGAACTTTCTAGCAATTAGTTTTTAGTTTGCATGTTTTATAATGAACAAGTAGCAAGTAGCTTATTGCAAGTACTGAGTTTTTTACTCTAGTGATTTATCATAAAAGTTGTCATCATGAAGAGTCATGGAAAAGTCATAGAATTTCATTTTCAAATTTGAGAGGCCACCCTGTTATTAAGACCTCCCACCCCACCCCCTGTTTAACTTTTAATTGTTGTCAGCAAAAACTTTATATCTCATGACTTAAAAAAAATCAGCGAAAATTGGCCTTAAAATTAGAAAGTAATTCTTTCAGTCATTAATTAAAACAAAAACTTTTAGTGTTAACAGGCTTTAAAAATTGCCGACCTGGTAAATCTCGATTCAGCATATTAAATCCTATTGAAATTATGCTAAAACGGCTATTTGACCAGAAATATTTAAATTTCTGAAAAAAAGACAGAAAAACTCTATTTCACACTTGTGTGCTATCTAATTACTATAAGCAGATGTATTATAAGCAATCCATCTCATATATTTTCAGTATCATTCGTTAGGTTTTCACATATCCTTTTCATAAACTAGATTCAGTACATTCTATTGTTTTGTTTTCAGCTAATAATCTTTTGTTCCATTAACTAAAGAGTATTTTAATTTCTGCAAGTTAAATGTCAAAATCAACGTTTCGACAAAACGTCCAGATTTGAAAAAGTCTCGTGCATTATTTCAACATAATTAAATTTAATTGTTTATATTTGTTGTTATCACATACCAATATTCCACTTTTTCCACGTATTAGAAGACGCAAAGTTCCCTGACACACGGACAATCAAATAGAATTTGCTAAAAAGCATTACAAGTGTTCTAGTGTTTATTTATTAGTAAAAGAAATTTTTTTTTAATAATTTAGTGGAATTAAATTTTTCCTGGAATTTATTATTTAATTTATAACAGCAATATATAGGTATTATTATTATATATTTTTAAATATTATTATATAAAAATATATAATAATAATAACTATGTATTATATATTATATAATATATAGTTATGTATATATTGCTGTTATTATGCTTAAACTAGAAATTATAAAAATATATTTTTCATTTTCATTTAGTTGAACGTTTTTAAATTTTCAAATTAAAAATGATTTTTTTAATAGTTATATTTTTTTGTTTTATAAATATGATGATTGTTTTATTTTCATATTGTATTAATGATAAAATATGAAATTAAAATAACAAAATAAATTTGTAAAAGTTATGAATAATATTTTTTTATACAAGTACACAAATTAAATTTGAATAAAACTTTATATCTTTATCAATTAGAACAGGAAGTAAACTTGGAATATCTCCTCTAATGCTTGCTGCGATGAATGGCCACGTTGCTGCTGTTAAGCTTTTACTTGATCGAGGCTCTGATGTAAATGCACAGGTAAAATATGCTAGCTTAAAATTTTGTGTTGAATTATGCTGTGTATTTCAAATATTTTAATCAAATTACGTCATTTTCTAGGCTTTTCTATTTTAAAGTAGTTTCTAGGCTTTTCTATACGCGTTTTTTTTTTTAATTTTATTTACTAACAACGCGTATTACGGGTTGCTTACTGCTAGTATAAAGTATTATCTGTATTTGTATAATTCAATATTTGTAAATTCATTTAGATTGAAACAAATCGAAATACAGCTCTTACTCTAGCATGCTTTCAAGGTAGAACAGAAGTTGTTGGTCTACTTTTAGACAGAAAAGCTAATGTTGAACACAGAGCAAAGGTTTCTGTTTTAATTAAATTTTTTTTTTTGATCCCAAAATAAATTTATGTTAATTTTTCAAATTTAATAATGTCAATAGCGCTATGATACACAGTTAAAATTGTTTAACATAAAAGTTTGTCATACAATTGCAGCTTTTTTTATTTTATATTTTATAGACTGGTCTAACACCATTAATGGAGGCTGCCTCTGGTGGGTATGTTGATGTTGGGAGAGTTCTAATTGATCGAGGAGCTGATGTCAATGCACAACCTGTTCCTTCCTCAAGGGATACAGCATTAACAATTGCAGCTGATAAAGGTCACTACAAGTTTGTTGAACTGCTCATCATTGTTGGTGCTGCTGTAGATGTTCGAAACAAGAAGGGGTGTACTCCATTATGGCTGGCAGCTAATGGTGTTTATTTAATAAATAATATTCAATAAATTTTTAAAATTTAATTTATAAATTAAAATTAAAAAAAAAAGTAAAATAAAAAATACAAAATTTTCAAAGTGTTTATATCTATAACATATTAGTATTTACTTTTTAGGTGGCCATATTGATGTAGTCACTTTGCTAGCTCGAGATTATGCAGATGTAAATGCAACAGATAATCGTGGTGTTTCATGCTTAATGGCTGCCTTTCGTAAAGGTCATGTAAAAGTTGTTAAGTGGTTAGTGAAGCATGTATCACAGTTTCCAGCAGAATCAGACTGTAAACGCTACATCCAAACTGTATCTGATAAGGTAGTTTTTTTAATTTCTTTCATTTTATGTTATGTTTTTTATTGTTTTAAGTTGGCTTTTTACAAGTCTCAATATAACAAAAATTATCTCTATCAAGTCTTTTGAGGAAAGCTGTGCGATTGGATGTATTATCTGACCACGTGTATAATATTTTGTTTTTAAAACTTGGCTTTGGCACTTTGCAAGTTTTTTGATAATTTGCGTGTTTTAAAAATGCGCTAAAAACTGAAGAGAAAATTATAAAAATAAACAAACCTTAAACTGAAAAAAGAAAAATTAATAAAAGCATAAAATTAATATATGTCTTCATAGAGTTTAGAAAAGATCAAAGTTTTTAAGTTATTTCATCCAAATTTACTTTGAAACTTAATTATTTTAAAATTTGAAACTTAATTATTTTAAAATTTGAAACTTTGATATTTTATAATGTCTACTAAGCGAATACATATATCTTTTATTTGTTTTATTATTTGTTAGGATTTTGTTTCTCTTTTCTGTTTACAATTTTTTCATTTTAAATTTTCTCTTCTGTTTAGTTTGCTTTTTTCAGTGCATTTTTTTAAAAAACATGCAAATAATCACATGTAAAGTGCTGTGGCCAAGTTGACAAAACAAAATTTTATTATATGCATATCTCTTACTGAGTTCTCTACTTTACATCTAAGTTTATCATCCAGTACTGACCTCTCATTTTCTAAGGTTGCCTTTCTTTTTTTTCGTGCTCACCATTTTGTTACTCTTGATTTCATACTTTACCTCAATAAATCTCTTATTTGTCCTTGTATAAAATACTTTTATGATCCATAGGTTGGCTCTTCATTTAATTTATAGTTTTTCAAGTCTTCTGTCAACTGCTTTCTTGCACTTTAACTCTAATTGATTTCTGTTAACTTGTAAACTGATTAGCGGTTGTTTGTAAGTCTTGTTAGAAGAGAATTTCTTAAAATATAAAAGAAAAGGAAAGCATAGATTTTTTTAAATGAAAAATAAAGAGAAATTATTTATAAAATTATGTTTTTAATAAGAGGATCCTTAAAATACATTTTGTTGATAAGGGTAGAATTAATAATTTTTTTTTATCTTGTTGTTTTAATCGATTGTCGGTTTAATAGCTGGGACTCAAGGCTAAAAATAATCAGAACTTATAATGCACTTGTTTTCACTGTTTTTGTTAATGCACTTGTGGCTTTGTGAACAAGACCAGAAATCATAATGTTTGAAGTTTAAAAAGTTCAAATTTATAAAGGAAAATTCAGAAGTAAATTTTTGGTCATATTGCTGGCTTAGCTAAATTATTTTAGATTCTCAGATAGAATCTAAAATAATAGGTTATTTAAGTATATTAGAATTAAATATCCTAAGATTAAAAAAGTAATAATTTTGACTGGTATTGTTTTTATAATAAAATTTGTGTTGTTTTTTTCAAACACTTTAATGCTTTTTTGGTAAAAAGATTCTTTGTAGATAATTCTCTTTAAATTAAATTTGCAGGAAATATTTGCAATTAAATGATTAATGTTTATTTTAAGGATTTGCAAATAAAACTTCAAGAGTGCTATGAAATTATCAATGCTGCAAAAAAACGTCAAGAAGCAGAAGCAAACAAAAATGCATCAATTTTATTAGAAGAGTTAGATCATGAAAAAAAAAAAGAAGAACGAAGAAAGATTGCTGCGCAAAAGAAAAGAGATAAAAAGAAAATGAAAAAAAAGAAAAAGTGTGGAAGTAAAGAAACTAATGATGATAACGATGAAGATGAGCAAGATGAAGATCCAGATGCTACATATGATCATATTAACTTTCCATTTTGCACGGGAAATGAGAGAACACCTATAATCATTAATGGTTTGTTTAAATGGTTTGTTTATGTTAAATGAAATTATAGGTGTATTTTTTGTGTGTGATTTATTTGTATAATTATTTTGTATAGACGATCGACCTGATTTATCCACCGCTGAAATTAAACTGAAATCACAAAAACAGTTAAAATGTAAAAAAAAAGAAAAGAAGAATCGTTTGAAGAGGAATGAAAGTACTGACAAAGATGAAGAATTTGATCAATTGCAAACCTTTGATCTTGATGCTCTAACGAATCTCGCAATTACAACTGCAGCTCAAATGGTTTCTTCTATTAAGTATGTTTTCACATAACATCACTTTTTTTAAATTTAAATGAAGTTAGATTTTTGTTTTTTGTTACAAAATTGTTTTGAATCTTTTTTTATAAAAAATTCTGACTATAAAGTATAAATTTTCACATTTCACTTAATATTCTGAACAGAGTTTTAAATCACTCAAATGTAACAGAATTTAATAAGACATTTCTTTGCTGAGCCAAAACTTACCTAATTTTGAAACTTGCATATATAACTTGGATCCTAAACTAACTTTTGTTTTAAACATATATGTTTGTGAACAATTAAAGTTATGAGGTTTTAAAACAACTTTATATTATGGAAGCAGATAAAATTTACTTCTGCTGTTTGTTATAACATTTATATAAATCTTTTGTTCTGAATTTAAATGCTCTGACTTCTAACCTTTTTAGTCAAACTGTTATTAAATGATTGTATTAAAAAAGTATAGTCTATTATAATATAATTACTTAAATATAGTCTATTAATCTAAAATCTGTAACATAATAGAATTTCCATAATGTAATTTAAAAAATTTCTTGTTAATGTTATAGACCTCTTGAGACAGTAAGTGCAGCAACTGCTGCTCAAGTAACAATAGCAGTAGCCACTTCTATTATCACAAGAAGTACAACAAAAACATCAAAGTTAAAATTACCTCTTGGTGAAGAGGTTGCTGCTACAATGGCTGCTGCTGCTGCACAATGCGCAATAGTTACGTCTAACTCTGTTATTCTTAATGCTGTGAGCCCTAAAAAGACACGAAGAGCTGAGGATGGATGGAAGGAAGTTACACGAAGGTATTTTCTTAATTTATTTTATTTGCACATCATATGTTAGAATGCGATTTTTAGTGTGCATTGCTGGTTATTCTTACTTTATATGTAATATGGTATTTATCCTACTCAAATCAAAATTGAGTAATTCACTAAAGAAGATTTTTGGATTAGATGAAAACAAAATTTATATAAAAATAAATGAATTTCTTAGTTAAAAAATAAATCTGGTCTAATCAAAATAAAAATCAGTAATTTTTCTATTGAAACTGATTTTAACTTTACATAAATACATTTAAAAAGCAGCTAAAAATACAAAAATATGTTTTTATTGGTTAAATTTAACAAGTATTGTTTCAGAGTTTTTTTATTTCTTTTAATTGTGGTTATAGATTTTATGTCATTATTCAGGATTGAGTTCCACAGACGTGGACCCTGACAAGTGATTGGGTAGTCCAATTTTTCAAGTGTTGTTGACAGAATGTAAAAATTGTCAATGGAATGTCTTGTTAAGTATCTGTGGTTAATTAAAAAGTAATGTGGCTGAAAATATGATAAAAGCATGTTATTTTGAAGTTTAAGCATAAAAAATTTTGATAAATATTTATTTCCTATAAATTTAAAGCATTAATTTCTTTTAGTAAAGGCTTGGCATATGCATATTTATCTGGATTAAAAATTAACCGAGTTGCTTGTTTTTGTTTGCTATAAATTTTTTTATAACAAAGACAACTGATTACTTGTTTAAGCTATATCACAATAACTAATATAGGTATGGATAAATGAAAAATATAAACTTTTTAGTACGAATAGGAAATTGTAGGATTGTAAATATGAACAGGGAATTGTAGTATTATAAATAAATCTTAAATTTATAGTTTAAATTTATTCGTGTAGAATTGTATTGCACCACCCACATCCTCTAAAACCTTCAACATCTTAGCTAGTACATCCAAAAATGGTTTGTAGTCTAGCTAACAGGTTATCAGTTTTGTTAGCTCAATAACCATATTCACTGGAGATAACAGTTCTTTATTCTATTCAAACTCTTCATTTAGGAGTTATTTAAAATGAGCTATCCACCCTGTTTTTACTTCAACTTCATTTTAAAAAAATTTTGTCTAGTTTTTAATTCAGTTTTCTCCATCAACATCTCTATTCATAACAGTTTAGCTAACAACCCTTTACACTGCGTTTCTTTTGTCCTCAAAATCTTGCCAAATATTCCTGTTCATCTGATTGAGCTTTGTATATATTTTGATTTACAATAAAAAATAGAAAAATGTTATCCCTATTTCATTATATTTTTTAGTGCTCCACAATCACGTTCTAAGAAAATTCTTATTCCAGCTTCTTTAATTTCACGAGTAATTGGTCGAGGAGGTTGCAATGTTAATGCTATTCGAGAACATACTGGAGCACTTATCGATATTGATACAAATAGGAAAAAAGCGAATGGAGATTGTATGGTCACAATCAAGTATGTTTTTAATATTTTATCATTTCTTTTAATTACATAATTACATTATTTAAATTTATTGCAATTACAGCTGGTCGGCATTCAGTAATGCTGAATACCTAACTGCTGAGCTAAAAGTGTCTGAGGTTGGCAATTTTTTGCCAACCTTTTTTTTATGTTGTCATGGCAAAATCTTTGTATTAAAAATTTTGTGCAGACCAAACAATTTTTAAGGATGGCAATTCATTGCCAACCTTTTTTTTTTTTTAATTCTTAGAGCTGCAATTACAATATTTTATATTTTACATTATAGGTGTTTCCATTTTTAAGCTTGATTTAAATTTATTGAATAAAATATATTTATAGAGGCACGCAACAATCTACTCGCCAAGCTTCAAATCTTATCCAATCACTAATAGATAATCCTGATGACGATGTCGCAGAAATTTTACCTTCAACATCTACTTGTAAAACACCTTCAATATTTGAAAATAATGTTTTGCCTTCAAATTCTACAGTTTCTAAATCTTTGAGTAATCAAAAAACTGTTTCAAAACATTCTAATCAAAGACATATATCAGTATCATCTTCTACTCAAAATTCAATTTATCAACAAAATCAAACAATACCAGTTAATAAAAACAGTACTGAACGATCTGACTTACCTCCAAAGGATTTTTCCTTCCATAATGGCAAATCAGGATCAACCCTCACTGGTTGGGAAAGAGATGAACCGCCACGATTTCGTAAAGCTGAAAACAGTGTCATTTCTCAACCAATCACACAGTCAACCTTTACCACATCAACAAAAACTAATATTTTAAAATCTTCTACTTCATTATCAACAAATGTTGTAAGTTCAGCATCAATCATTTCAGATCTTTCAAAAGCAAAACTACCAAAACCAATTGGTAGTAACCGTCCATCTAGTACAACTGTTAAACAACCTCAGTCGATTTCGTCTACAAATACACTTGAGTCTGTGACTGCCACTCTTCATTCAACTTTAGATAATTTATTATCACAAGTTGCTACTCAACGCAGTCCAATGATTTGGAATGAGTATCAAGATCGTTCTAAGCTTGTTTCCAGCACAACTGCTGTGGCAACATTGGTAACATCTCCCAATAGCATAACATCTAGCTTTTCACGAGATCAATTTCGTTCAAATTCTATTTCTCAAAATTCTTCACAAGACTCAATGTGTCATTCCAGAACACCTTCTATATCTCCAATTTCTAATAAATCGATCTCTCCACCTCCGCTTCCTCCAGATGAGAAACCACATTTAAATCCAATCGGTAGTGAACGAGGAAATAAAAAGTGCATCTCTAACCCATTACTTGGTTTTAATGAATTGCCTACGCTACTTCAAGGTAAGCGTGAATATTGCTAAAAAATCTATGCAAATTTATTACTGCATATTTAGGTTAGGTAAATGCTGAGTTTATTCATACACTTTTTCAGGCAACGAAGGAAAAGAAGAATGACCTTTAAAAAAAAAGTGAAAAATAAGTACCCTATTTATATACTGTCTGCCCAATCCCCCAGCTGATGTATGTACTGAAGTCCTTGCAGAGTATTATTTTAGGATGACATCATTAAGTGTATGTATTCACACACACAAACACTAGAGAGTGTCAGGGGGACAGAAACCGTCCCCATCCCCATATAAATTTTTCCATTTAATATTTATAAAAATGAAAGAAAAAAACTATAATAAAATACACCATTTTTTTGGTGGTAATTTATCTTTTTAATATGTAGATATTAACTGCCTATTTTTTAACTTGTCAATTGATATATATACACATATTAGTTGTTGTATGCCCTGCATATTCTTATTTCAGCATCGTGCAATTTCTGATATGCGCACCTAAGTCTCCAATAAATATTTATATGCATTAGTGTTTAAGCATTATTTTTGTCTTTTCCTTTAAAGGTCTAAATAATGCTTTAAAGTATTATTTTTGTCTTTTTCTTTAAAGTCTTTATTTTGTTACACTTGTTATAATTTGTTGCTGATTTTTTTTTTTTAATGTTTTTTAATTCCAGAAAAATAAAATCGACCTTGATGCATTATTACTTATGTCAGAACAAGATTATTGATACTGTTTATAATTTTTTTTTTTAAGGTGTAGAAAACAATCAAAGATTATGGCAATTTGAATATCCATCTGTAAAACCATCATGGACTACAACGCAATCAACACCGGGGTGGGTTCGTGAAAATACAAACAAACCTCAGATGAATGGAATTTTACTTGAAGAAAATAATCAGGAAAATCAAACACTTCAAAGTCTTCTAGAGAGTTTGTCACTTTCTAATCACCTAAATTTATTCCAAGTATATAAATTTTTAGTTTTAAGTTTTCCTGAAATTTATTCCAAGTATATAAATTTTTAGTTTTAAGTTTTCCTGAAATTTATTCCAAGTATATAAATTTTTAGTTTTAAGTTTTCCTGAAATTCATTCCAAGTATATAAATTTTTAGTTTTAAGTTTTCCTGAAATTTATTCCAAGTATATAAATTTTTAGTTTTAAATTTTCCTGAAATTTATTCCAAGTATATAAATTTTTAGTTTTACGTTTTCCTGAAATTTATTCCAAGTAAGGTCTTTATTTTGTTACACTTGTTATAATTTGTTGCTGATTTTTTTTTTTATGTTTTTTAATTCCAGAAAAATGAAATCGACCTTGATGCATTATTACTAATGTCAGAACAAGATTATGCTGATATTGGCCTACCAAAGGTATGTTTAACTGAGTCTAGTTATGAGAAAATAATGTATTTATAAATTAGAATGAGTAATATACTATAGCTTATTAAATATGAAAATAAATATAAATATAAAGAACAAAAAAAATACACAGTAATATTAAAATGTATATTATATAAAGTATTAAAAATGCAAAATAATCTAAAATGTGCAACTTTAAGCCAAAAAAAAAAAGTATATGATAATGTTCAGTTAATTAATCGGCAGTTGACCTTTAATAGATAGTAATGACTTTGTTAATTGGTGTTAACAGTTTATGCTCTAAAATTGCTTAAACAGTTAACAAGATAAGATTTTTGCATATATTCTACATATCTGAACCTTTCCTAGTGTATGAAGTTATATCTTAAAGTTTACTATTTTGAGCAATACAGAAAAGCCACGAAAAATTAACAGACATAATTTCTCTTACAATATATCCGCAAATTTATGAAACTTAAAACTTGTGGAACTAGTTAAATTAACTTTAGTAAACACCTTTAAAGTTGTTTTTGATTGTTGAATAAACAACAATTGATTGAATCGGTTGTTTAAGTATGCTTAAAGACATGCTCAATGGTATCTAGCTAGTTACAGTGTTGAATACTAACTAATAACACAAAACCAATTAAACTTAGTTTAAGTTATGTCGGTTACCAACTTTTTTGTTGTTTATTTATTGTATTTGTAAAAATCTTTTACTGTCTTGTTTTACTCAAAATATAAATATAAACAGCAGCTTTCTATTACTAATTTTAACTCTTACGCTTTGTCCCAAAGTTTATAGTAACGTCTTTTTTTTTTTTAAAAAATTTATAAAAATAATTAAAAAAATTTTATTATAGGAACCTCGAATGAAACTTCTTAACAGTTTAAATCGGATTTACTCGAATAGTTCTCAACCTCATCAAGTGCGACCTGGATCTAATGGTGTCCATCCTGTGCAACATCATGTGATCACGTCAATACATCCAGAGCCAATGTGGAAACCTTCTCCGTTACCTATAAATGGTTTGGTCCATCCAATGCTTCGTCCTGAGTTTAGACAACCAGTTGGTATGCAAAATAGTTTGCAATTTCACGGCCCTCAAATCATGGTAAGAGATTTCGGCCAAAGTTTTAAAATAGGGTTGTTATTTTTTAAAAACTTTTAAATTTTTATCAATATAATGCTTTAATACACGAAACACTTTATTTTTTTTTTTTGTTTCGTTTTATCGTTTAATTAAGAATATTTACTTTTATATTTAATTAAAAATATTTTCTTTTAAAATGTTTTATGAGCGTTGCTTAATAAAATCATAATCTTTTTTAGTTATTTTTTAACATTTTTTTATTTAAAATTTTTTAATTTGCTATTTAAAAATAATATGCTTAAAGTAGTATTTTTCGTACTTTTTAAAATTATGTTATTTTTTCATGATGTTTTAAAAGGAAATATGTATATAATTAATTACAAGGTTTTTTAAATATTTGTAACTATAGCTGTACTGAAAAGAACCATTAAACCTTTTAGCAATAGTTGGTAAGTAACACTTGATAAACATGGTGATAACGTTAAAAAATTTTCTTTGATGATCTTGAAACAGTAATTTTGCTAAATTATGAAAATTTTGTTATAAATACTATAGAAACATTTATGAAGAGGTTGTGGAGGGGGAGATCAACAGAGAAAAGAAATATTTTCTTTTTTCTTTAATTTGTATTTATTATATAATCAAAGATTTATATGTATATATAAATCTTTGTGTGTATATATTATATATGTATATATATATATATATATATATATATATATATATATATATATATATATATATATATATATATATATATATATATAATAACGCACGTATATATTTAAATATACATTTGAATATTTAGAAACCATGGCAACCATGGAGTAATCAAATCGATCAATGAGTTAAAGGTATTAAAGTATTTAAAATTTTAAAAATCTTACAACTATCAATTTATATTTTGAACTTTAACAATAAATCCAAACAAACTTTAAATTTTAGATATGCTTGCATTTCAATATACTCGTTGCCGAATTTTTTTGTCTCGATGATTCGTATAACTTTTACGTTGATCCGTGATCAGGCTTTATTTAGATTTCTATGCTTTAAATTCATGTTAATTGTTCATTTTTACGTTTTGTTAATTTCTTCGCTAAACTTAAACTTGATTTTTTTGTATATTTCCTCGCTATTTTCATGTTTTTGGAAGACTTGAAAGTTTGTAATATAATTTTGATCAAAGCCTATGCCACACGATAACATTTTGATGTTAAATTATGTCTTGATATTAAATGTTGCTACATATAAATAAAAATAACAATAAACATCACAGACTTTTTATTTTTTTTATATATATATATATATTGAAATTCTTAATTTGTGTTTCTTAAAGTTTAGTAGTTAAGAATCCCCTTAGTTCCAGATCCAATGATCCTACTCAATACACAGTGATCTTCCGTTTGTACATTTTTTGAGTCGTCTGTGTTTTTTCATTTGATCTTGTTTTATAAGTTTGTGTTGGCTTGAGAAAAAAGTCAAAGTTAAATTAAAAGATGTATATTAGGAACTTTATGAATAATCACTACAGGCAAATACTTATTATTGATGTTCAAAATTTAGCTTTTGCTTGGGCTTATGGAAATCTTTTCACAGAAATGCTTTACTTTTTATTTTTTCGGCTTTTAACCAGAAAATCTAAAGTAAGGGAGAATAGGGCACCATAGCACATTTTTGGTTTGCAACAATTTTTTTTAAACGCCTTTTTTAAGGCGATTGGTCAAATTTGTTGAATAAATTTATACTTACGAAATTAAATTTATAAATTGCAAAAATACACTTTCACTTGTAATTTAAAGTAAAATTAGAAATTTGTTTCATGGTACCCCATGGGTGGAGCACCTTGAAACAAGTTTAGTTTTTCTGGATATATTTTCCAAAACCTTTTGCATATATACAAGTTTAGGTATATATTTTTGTAATATATTTGTTTTTTAAGCTTTTTTACTCATCACTCATACAAAATTAAGAAAAGTTTGAAAAAAAATCGAAAACAACTCAGCTAAAAACAAAATTAAGAGGAAAATAAGAGAAAATATATTAACCAAACAATTTTTAAAGTATGACCTAGATGATCTATGACCTTAATGCACACCATGAGCATCATTAAAAAAGTAGAAAAGACAGGTTTTTACTTGAATCATAAATAAATTACTAATTATAACCTAAACAATTTATCTAAGAGTTCAAATCACATTCAGAAGAACAGATAATAAATCGTTTTAAATGTCATTTTTAAGCGTCGATAAACAAAGGATTTGTATCGCAATTATATCTCCTTGTATTATATTTACATAAACCTTTTAAAAATTGATTGTAAATATTAAAAGAAATGATTTTTAGAATTGTTTAAGACACAAAGAAGTACTATTCAGTTTTAGGGTCCCCCACAACTGCTGTATCAAAGTACCCAATACTAGCTAAAAGAAAAAAATCCCTTTATTTTTAACATCTACTTGTTTTTCAATAATTTTGTTTAATGAAGTAAAGAGCCTATGGGTTGTAGTTTACAAAATAATGTTACTTACCGATAAACACGTTGAATAAGACACCTTAAAACTTATGAACTTTAAAAACTAATAAATTACCTTGTCACAGAGTTGTTAACATGGCCAATTATAGCAAGGCCAAGAGTTTTAAGGTCAAGGCATAGGCAAACATTTTTAAGACCAAAAACTTCAATTTTTGCCTTACGTTAAGGCCAATTATTAACAAAACTGTAAGTAGTAAGTGCTGTGACAATAAAACCACATTTTGTAAAAATAGACTAAGGTTATGCGCAGAATTCAACAAAATGAATAAGAAAATATGTATTTTTTCAAGGTCAAAACAACCAAGGCCAAAGCCTCAATTTTTGGTTTTAAGACAAGGCCAAGGACTAACAACTCTGCTGTCATAAAAAAAAAAATACAAATTTCGACCTCTTACTGGCCTAATCATGTTATATTGGTTTAAGTTTATTCATTCATGGTCAAAAATAAATTTACAAATTTTTTTTTGAAAAAAGAGCGGCACACCAGGCCTCTCTGTTATGAAAATACAGTTTTTCAATTTCAGCTTAAGTGAAGATTCCGTAGCAGAGAAAGTTCGTGTTTGAAATTGTTCAAGTTCTTTGCGTCCACCGCGTTTTGGGTTAAAGAATTCCATAATCTTACAACACGGTTGGTAAAGAAGTTACTTCTTTCAGCGCAGTTTCGGACAAGTTGTGCTCTTAATTCTTTAGTGTGTCCACGCGGCCGAAAACTGTACTTTGAAGATTCCGTGTTAGGTTGAAGTTGAGGGACGTGAAAGTTAACTTTATCAGTTTTGCTCATGACTTTATATTGTTTGATAAGGTCTCCTTTTTCTCTTGGTTCAAAATGGTGTTTAAGGAAGGCAATATGCTTTGTGGCTCGGTGTTGAACTTGCTCAAGTTTAGCAATGTCTTAAGCTAAAAACGGTGACCCGGCCTGCGAATTCTAGGTGTGGGCAAATGTACGAAATATACAAATATACTCCATATGATTTCAGCTTGTGCAGCAGACAACGGCGAGGAACTTTGTCGAAAGCTTTAGCAAAGTCTGTGAATCGGTTGGGTAATCTTTGCGGGCAGCTTCAGTCAGGATGTCACAAGTTTCAAGTAGGTTTCTGACGCAACTATTTCCTTTTCGGAACCCGTGTTGAGCAGAGCTGATGAATTTAAGTGGTCAGTAATATGCTTGTGTAAAAAGATTTTCATTACCTTGCAAGGGACAGAAGTGCGAGAGATAGGTCGATAGTTTGAGAAGTTCAAATTGCAGCCTTTTTTGAAAATGGAAATAATTTCGGTATTTTTCGATTGAGACGGTACTTTTCCAGCTTTAAGCAATTCAGCTCAGTGGGTTAGCAAAATCTGCAGCACAGTATTTCAGGACGCGTGGATGAATACCGTCGAAGCTGATCGATTTGGATTTGTTCAGGTCCAAAAGTTTTTCTTTGACGGATTCGTATGATGCGAGTGTGGTCGGTTGGTTTATGCTAGTGGAATGAGTGTTGAATGTTGCTATAGACCCTAGCGGTTCAATTTCAAAAACTGATTGGAATATTCGTTAAGAGTGTTGTAGATTACTTTAGGATCTGTTGTAGTTTGATTATTAGTTGTTTCAAGTTGACGGATGCGATCGTGTGTTTCTTGTTTGCTTTTGACGCACGAGTGGATTCTTTTTGGGTCATATTGGCTATTATTTACCAGTTCCATTTTGTAATCCAGAAAGGCTGTTTTAACTAATTTTTTTGCTGCTTTGCTTGCTTTTTTATGCTGTTCGCGTAGAGTTGGCTTGTTTGTTCGGTTGGATGCGATAAAATTGCCCCAGAGTTTGATTTTCAATTTGATAGCATTTGCAACATCTTTGGTATAAGGGGTGGTCGTTGATGGGACGTGTAATGAGATTGCTTCATTGAATTTGTTGATAAATATTTGATATTTTTCGGAAATGTTCAATATGAGAATGTTTTGATATGCGTAGAAACTAAGTTGTAGTCGACTTTGCTCCAGATCAGAGGTTTCTTGTAGAGGTTAGAGGAATCAGTTATTTTGTGTTCTTTAGTTTTTAGGTCGATGAGAGCTATACTTCCCTCAATAAGACAGTGTGCCTGACCTTTGGCTGTGTGGCCGAGAGGACTAGCTTCTTTTATGTTTATTATTCGGTCTGGTTTGTTGGTCAGGATTAAGTCAAGAGCATTTTTTGGAGGTTCCTAGCGAGTACTGCGATATGTTAGAAAAGTTATCAGCTGGGTCAAATGATTTTCTTCAAGACAGTCTTAAAATTTGCTATCCGTTGGCCAATCGTTTTTTACGTATGCAACAGTCGCGATGCCACCTCCTACGTCGACTATATAATATAATTTTTTTTTTCAAAACATACAGTTCAAAACATGTAGTTGTAGTAGTAACTGTTTCACCATATGAAGGTGGTTGTCACAACTCTGAAAATGTCTCTACAATAAAAATATTTTATGGTGCTCCACTCTTCCTTAAAGTATTCACAAATATGTTCAACTTTTTGAAACTGTTATTAAAATTGCAGTGACTATGTTTGGTAGAATTTGTATATGTAAACTGGTGTCTGTTGTTTTAGAAAAATACAAAGCAGCTATTCGTTAATTAAACCAAGACTTTTTAGTACTTTATAAATGGCTAAAAAATAACAAACTTAAAATTGAAGTTTAAACATGAACCTATTAAATTAAGTTTGACATGAAGCTATAAATGATTTATAGGTTCATGTTTATGTAAAACAAAAGCTTTGAAAAAATATTGCGATAATCGTCTATAAACAATAAACCCCTAAAATGTTTACCTCCTTTCCATGCCATTAGCGTGAGAGCGATTAGTTTATAACATTTATATATACATTTTAAACTAAATTTAAGTTCATTAACAAGTCTCTAATGTCATGCAATAATCTCTTAAGAGATTTATACGGTCATAATTTTGAACAACCTCTCCAATTATTAAGGGGATTTTAAATATTTTACTTAATTAAGTTATTAGTTCGTTTGACAATCAAATTCCTAATTCAAATGTTCGGAGCAAAAGTTAATTTCACCTTTTTTTGTGAATAAGTAATCAAATGACGTGGACATCATCGTTAAAATTTGACGAAGAATATTAGTGTAATTGAGTTTTTATAAAGTGACTATAGTCTATAAGATCATTCATATTTTTCATGCAATATTGTCAAATTAATTTTTTAGTTAATTTGGTCGTTTTTTTTATTGCATAAAGACATTCTTTAATGCAGTGGCTGATTTTTTTTATACTTTTTTATTTGTACTATATTATCAAGTTACTATATTATCAAGTTGATTTTTTTTTTTTAGTTTTTACACTTTACTTTTTTGTTATTTTAGAAAAAGAGAAATCTTTTTCTAAAGTAACATAATAAAACAGGAGAAATATTGCATAAATACCAGAAATTCTGAATAATTTTATTTTTTTAACATATAAAAATAATTTTTATAAAAAATATTATCCATAAAAATATAAGTTAAACAAAATACAAGATTTAATTTTAAATTGATTTAAAATTAAATCTTGTATTTTGTTAATACAAGTATTATACGAGTGGTATTGCGTGGTATTTTACAACGTTAAAAGCAATCTAAAAAGGATTTAAAATTTGAAAATGGTGCAATTCCTTTTATCACCAAACCGATTAGATTTACTTAATCAACAGCATCTTTAATAGTATTATTATATAGTTACGTACAATTAAGGTCTTTTAATGTGTTCTTAAAAACCATATTA